TTCCTCCAGTCCTGTTGCTGTGTTCTTCATATAGTTCAGCTTCTCGGATTATTTGCTCAGCATACAGATTGAATAAGTATAGTAAAAGGATACAAGCCTGATGCACACCTTTCCTGATTTTAAACCACGCAGTATTCCCTTCTTCTGTTTGAACAACTGCCTCTTGGTCTAAATATAGGTTTCTTATGAGCACAATTAAGTGTTCTGGAATGCTAATTCTTCCCAATGTTATCCATAATTTCTTATGATCCACACAATCAAATGCCTTTGCATAGTCAATAAAACACAGGTTAAACATTTTTCTGTTATCCTGTGCTTTCAGCCATGATCCATCTGTATTTTTAGTGCCTTCCAACCTGAGGGGCTCATCTTCAGGCAGTACATCAAACAGTGTTCTGCTGCTATTCATGAGGTTTTCACAGGCCAATTTTTACAGAAGTAGACTGCTTGGTCCTTCTTCCTAGTCTATCTTAGTCTAGGAGCTCCACTGAAACCTGTCCACCAAGGGTGACCCTGCTGGTATTTGAAATACTGGTGGCAGAGCTTCCAGAATCACAACAACATGGAAGCCACCACAGTATGACAAACTGACAGACACGTGGTGGATTCTTTACACTAGCTATTAGCATTAATTTTTTTGGTATTGGGGAGGTACTCCATGCTTTCTTTTACATATGAGAAGAATCAAACTCAGGAATTGTAAATGACTTAGGTGTCCAGGGTTCTTAGTTTGATTAGTAGCAAAGTTGACTAGAATCTTTATCTTTTCTGCTAACTACCATGCTTCCTTACTGAATTTCGAATTTTCTTTAACCTGAGTACTTGAACTTTGGAGGCAGACTACCTGAGTTTGAATTATGACTATGATATGGTAATACCTGTGAAAGCTGGAATCTGTGTGAGGCGTAAACTTGTCAGAGAAAGAAAACAAATATTTTCTACTAAAACGAGTGATAGTAAAGTGGTAAGACTGCACCCTGCCAAAGGTGGAAAACTTGCGAGACCCAGAAAAACAAGGCAGTCATGTTGAGTTCTGACTTTCACTATGCTAGGTGGGTAGACACAATAACTGTGTGTCTCTGTTTCTCCATCTAAAGTAGAAACAATATACCTCATAGGCTTTCCAGGATTAAATGAGAAGAGTGCCTTACACATAGTAAATGCTTCCAATAGATGTTAACTGTTATGGTTACTGAAAGTGAAGAGGACTTGAAGCACTTACTAATGAAGCTCAAAGACCACAGCCTTCAGTATGGATTATATGTCAACATAAAGAAAACAAAAATCCTCACAACTGGACCAGCAAACAGCATCATGATAAACGGAGAAAATATTGATGTTGTCAAGGATTTTATTTTACTTGGATCCACAGTCAATACCCGTGGAAGCAGCAGTCATGAAATCAAGCAATGTATTGTGTTAGGCAGATCTGCTGCAAAAGACCTTTTTAAAGTGTTAAAAAGCAAAAGTGTCATTTTGAGAACTAAGGTGCACCTGACCCAAGCCATGGTATTTTCAGTTGTCTTATATACATTCAAAGCTGGACAATGAATAAGGAAGACCGAAGAAGGGTTGATGCCTTTGAATTATGGTGTTGGCAAAGAATATTGACTATACCATGGACTGCCAGAAGAACAAATGAATCTGTTTTGGAAGCAGTATAGTCAGAATACTCCTTAGAAGTGAGGATGGCGAGAATTTGTCTCACGTACTTTGGACATGTTATCAGGAGGGACCAGTCCTTGGAGAAGGACATCATGCTTGGTCAAGTAGAGGATCGGTGAAAAAGAGGAAGACCCTTAACAAGATGGATTGACACAGTGGCTTTAACAATGGGCTCAAACATAGCAACGATTGTGGGGATGGCGCAGGACTGGGCAGTGTTTCATTTTGTTGTACATAGGGTTGCTATGAGTTAGAACCGCAGCTAATAACGACAAAAACAATTATTGGTATTAGTATTACAATGATTATTATTACTTCCAGACCACTTGGTAAGTCAGAAAAAAATACAGTATTTCTATCCTGTTCTCCAACAGTTTCTTTTGCTGTTTTTTCTTATTGTCATTTGTCAGATGAATACCTGTAGTGAAAACTCAGATTGTTACTTTTTATTTTTTAATCCTTTTGGAATAGGTCATACATCCACAGGGTTCAAAATTCAGGTTTCTCCCTGCCCTTTTCTCCTAACCAACCATTTCCTTTCCCCATAGGCAATCAGTATGTCTCAATTTAAACAGTTGTTTTTATGAAGACTTTTCCAATTCTCTCTTTTACTCCCCACTCTTGCTGCAAGGATTAATTACTTGCTCCTCCATTGCTGGTACCATTTTTCTGGAACTTAGTAGGCTGTATTTATTGAGCAGCTTTTACTTGTCTAGCCCCTGGGGATGTATCATTGTTGAAAGGCAAGATCCCTGTTCTCATGGAGCTTGCCTTCTGGTTGGGGATACAGACAATAAACAAGTAATCAAATAAGTAAGAATTTCAGATAATGGTAGCACTGTGGAGATAATAGAGAATGTGTGTGGGGGTGATAGGTGGCTGGCAGTATTAAGTAGCGTGGTCAAGTGACGTGAAGCTCAGATGATAAGGAATCACCACGGGAACACCTGGGGAAGGCATATCAGGTAGAAAGAACACAAGTGCAGAGGCCCTGAAGAGGTAATAAACTTGACACGTTGAGGAGTAGAAACACCCGGGTGGATAACATGTGTGAGGGGAGGAGTAGAAGAAGGTGACGTGTTCTCTTGAGGAAGGAGATAAGGTAGTCTCTTGTGATCAGTGGCTGCAGAGACCAGGCATTGGTTACTTAGCCTGGATGGTGGCATTTACTTAGGAGTTAAGCTGAGCTGCTTACAGACAAGTTTTATGAACTCTTGAGTTTCAGTTTCTACATCTATAAAGTGAAGGTAATGACGTGTACCTTAAGAATTGCTGTGAGGATTAAATATGATATAAAAGTTTTATACAGGCAAATAGTAGCTGCTTAATAAATGGCAGTATTTTGTGTGCCTTGGTTCCATTCATGCAGGAGCAAAAGCTTTTAATGCAGTTTCTAAGTTTTTATGAATTGTTATCTCATATATTTTTGCTTTTCAATTTTGAATTATTCTTTAGCAGTGTTGGTTGACAATTAAATGCCCTGTTTTTTAGATGTCTTTTTTTTTTGTTATCTTCTGTAAAAGTCAAAATAGTCTTAGATTCTAGAATAACTAGGCAAGGAGTATGGGACAAAAGTGCTACACTTCATGTTATAACTGATTATAAAATAATACAAAAAACTTTCCATCACATATTTTTTTAAATTCATTTTGGATCTTGAATTTAGAATTTATATTATGCAGTGAAAAGTTGTTCCATGTATATTCATTTGATAAAATAACTTTTGTTCATATTTCTTTACAGAAGTGTTATGAACAGAAGCAGTACAAAAATGGCCTCAAGTTTTGCAAGATGATTCTTTCGAACCCAAAATTTGCTGAACATGGAGGTATTGTCTCATTTGTGAGAGATAAAATTGTTTTGGGGACATCTAATTCCAAAATCAGACAGATGGGATGTATAACAGTGAAAGAAGAATGCCTTGGCCTTGAAGCTCTCTATGAGAGCACATACATGTTCAACATTTTGAGCTGTGTTTCACGTGTCTTACTCTAGATTAATTTACTTATGCCCAGGTATACATGCAATGTTTTTTAGATGTGAAATGGTAGGTTAATTTATTGGGTTAAAAAGTGGATGAAGTATGTACCACTATTTTTATAGACCTGAATTTCCTGTGTCACTTTAATAGCGTTTATGTTTATACTTCAGTTTCTAGTGTACAAAATGAGAACAGTATTTGCAGTACTGAAGTTATAGTATGAAGATACAGTCTGAACATTTTATCTTGTTATGTATGTGCTTTTTATATATCTGCTGATCTTAATATATAAATAAGATACTACTACTTGACTGTTAGATTTTGTATCTTGAGTTGTATTTCTAGTACTGGTGGTGTTAGTAAGTGTATGTTTGTGTCATCCTTTCTCACTGGTGGCCAATATTTGTTAAAAGGATGGATTAGGTTAGACATGCAAGTAATGGTCCTGTAGCAAAGCAAAGCTAACTGGAGCCTCTGAAACTTTTTAGCTGTAGAACTCATGTCCAAATGGGAGCTTGTGGGGAAGTTCAATATGAAAACAGATAAAAGATGCTTGGTTATAGGGGCCTGGGGTGCTTGATCACCATTTTCTAAAGGGAGCTGCAAGAGTCCACAAAGCTCAGTTTGAAAACCACTGATCTTGCTCAATTCCTTTCTTATGGATTGTGTAGAGAATTATTTCATCCTGAACCATCCTCCATTAACATTGCAACATATTTTTGGGTCGTCACTTCCATAGTCCAGTGTTGTACTCTTGAAATACAAACTGATATTAATTAGCTGGAATAAACTTGCTGCCAAAACTGAAATCTGTTCCAGTAGTGAATAGATGTCTTTAAATTGTGTGTATGTCTTTAAGGGAGATTGATTGTTTTTGTAGGGTATATATCTGATGATGGTCTAATGAGAATTGATGTCAGGTGAAAGCTGTAGGACTGCTAAAATGGATTTAATTGAACAAAGACCCATGTGCCTGCTGTTTTTTCGGTAGCATAATCTTGACCCCTTTAACAAAATCTTCTAAAGGACAGATAGCATTTTAGCAACTTAGTCCCAGCTTAAGGAATTTCAGAAAGAACTCAGGCTAATTTTTTTTTTTTTAATTGTACTACTTTCAGTGAAAGTTTGCACTTCAAGTTAGTTTCTCTTACAGAAATTTATATACACGTTGTTATGTGACCCTCGTTGCTCTTCCTGTAATGTGACAGCACACTCCTCCTTTCCACCCCGAATTTCCCGTGTCCATTCAACCAGCTCCTGTCCCTTTTTACCTTCTTATCTCGCCTCCGGACAGGAGCTGCCCATTTAGTCTTATGTATCTACTTGAGCTAAGAAGCACTCTTTTCACGAGTATGATTTTATGTCTTATAGCCCAGTCTAATCTATGTCTGAAGAGTTGGCTTTGGGAATGGTTTCAGTCCTGAACTAACAGAGAATCTGGGGGCCATGTCTTCCAGGGTCTCTCCAGTCTCAGTCAGACTATTAAGTCTGGTCTT